GGGGCGGGAAGGGTTGGGAGGGGTAACATGGGGAGAAATTCAGGATATAGTATGCACCTTTGCAGCAACCCTGCATGACCTGCATATGTACCCCAGAACCTAAAGTAAAATAAAACAAAATTTAAAAAAACAGAAATTTATTTTTTTACTAAAAGTCCAAAATCAAGATGTCAAGATGCTGGGAAGATGTTTGCTTCTGCGGGTTCTGAGGGAGAATCACTTCTTGGTGTGCCCTGGCTTGCAGTTGCATCAACGTAGTTTCTGCCTTTATTGTTGCATAGATGGCCTTCATCCCCGAGTGTTTCTGTCCAAATTTTCTTCTTCTTATAAGGTCACCAGTCATACTGGATTTAGGGCCCATCCTAACCCAATATGACATCATCTTACCTTGAGTACATCGACAGAAACCTTACTTCCAAATAATACACTTATACAGGTTCTTAGTGGGTGTAAATGTCGAGAGAACACTATTAAATCCAGTACAAACCCACAGTAAGAAATACATTTTATATGTACAGATAGAACAAAAATCCTTGCAAAACTGTAGTTACTCTTTCTGTGAACAATGAATGGTAATATGTTTTAGTCTCTTAATTTTAATGTTTCTAAACTTGTTACAATCCACAAAATTGTCCAAAAATGATTCAATAATAGATGCCTATTGCAGTCTGAAAACACTTAGCTAGATCAATAATCTTTGTCATTTTCACATTTTAAATCACTTGTAACGTCACGCAAACCTGTCTATGGAAAGGTTGGCAAGGCAAAGAGAAGAGTGGAAGGAGATCATTCCTACCACATTTTTTGCGGTCTCCAGAAGAGAGGGGTTTGAGTTTATCAGGAAGCATGGAACACAGAGTTACTAGTACCACTGCAATCAAGAAACAGTGCCACAATGCAGTAGACAGGATTCTACAGGGACAGAGATCATGCATGCAAGCTAGATAGTAACGATGCAGGTCAGACCCGAGGGGTTTCACTCAGGAAAGAATTCAAGAGCCTGCTAGTAATAGAAGAAGAAAATAGCTTGCTTGAGGCAACAGTGTAACAGCCCCAATGACTGCTCCTGCAGAACAGGGCTACCCCACAGGCAGTGTGTGGCGGGAGCAGCTCAGAAACAGTTCTGCAGTCATATGTATATCCACTTTAAATTACATGCAAATTGAGGAGTGGGTTATTCAGAAATTTTCAGGGAAAAAAAGGTGGTAACTTCAGGGTCATTGCCATGTAAAGGGGTGGTTACTTTTGGGTGTTGACATGGCAATGGTAAACTGTCATAGCGCTGGTGAGTTGCCGTGGCTTATGGAGAGCTGCCTTCCCCTCTTCCTTATTTCAGCCAGTCTTCAATCTGCTTGGGAGTTGAGCCCTCCCTCCTACCTCAGTCAGACCATCTCATGGGTTAGCGAAGGAAAGAGAAGGGTTAGAGAAAGCAGCAAATATCTAGGTTGCATTTATATTAAATTGTATTCTATATCGTTTTTAATTTAAAGTAGTTCCAATTAGTACAACTGAAGAGAGTATCTGGTTGTTCTTGTGTTTCTTCATCTTCAAAAATTTCTAAGAAAAAGGAGTGAAAACACCCTTGCAAGGTAAGCCTTCCTACAATTTATTTGGCCCATGCGTTACTTGAGAAATCTCCAGGTGCCAAATTGAATAATTCTGAGTTAAAGTCCTTGATAGAGAATAAAGAACAGAGGTGTCCTTTCCAAGTCATTTTTATGACTTGCCCCAAACCTTAACTATAAGCTAAGAGTTCATACCAATGATTAACCTAGGAATAAAACTCATCTACAATATTAATTGATCTAATAAAATGTTCTTCCTTAGGCTTCTTTTTACGCATTCATTTTATTATCAAGTAGGCAGCCGGTCATAGGAGTTATAACTCTTCTTTTTTTTTCCCCGTACCCACATGCTAGGATGAAGTAAGAGATAGTATGATAAGCTAGCCCTTTATAACACTACTCTAGAAAAACTTAAAAAAAAAAAGAAGTTGTAATTTAAAACAGAAGTTATCAAGGTGAGATTCTAATTTATAGCGTTGTGCACATGAGTTTCAGAAGGATATGGTTTGTCTGAACTCTTTCTTCTGCATATGGTTCCTCACAGACTGTCTCCAGCCTATATTGTATCTTTATATAAGGACACTTTTATAATTTGTTTAAATATAAAAGAGTTGTCATTTTAAACTCACAAAGCACTGGCCAACCTAGTCTTAAACATAACATATTATGCAAATGATAATAAATACTATACTTGAAAATTGATATTTATATAATGAGGTTGCTCTTTATAAAGTGATTTTAAAGCACTCTCTCTGCTGTAAGGTATTTTTATTACCGTACCAGAAAAATAAAGTTATGATATATTTAATGTATGCTATGCAACAAAAACCCTTTGTTTTGGAGGTCTAGGGTGCTATCTGGAGAAAATCCAGAGCGGCTTTGTTTTCTTTCTCATTACAGAGTCCATAATATCCTGAGGCCAAGCTCAGAGTATACACTCAGCAGTTCTAACACACTGGATTTGTTTCCTCTGCCTCCACCACCACCTCTGATGAACGAAAGGGATTTACAATTAGTTACCATTTGGCAAGCTGATGGCAATGTTATTTTTAAAGTACATTTTCTAATAAACTCCAAGACTAAAGAATGGTTTATTGGCCTACCTCTAAGCAAAGGCCTGGATATTGCTTTTAAAATACAGAGATCTGCCCATTCCACTTATCTTCAGAATCTCCATAAACTGATCTCCTTTTCGGAATGATATCACTTTAAATCTTTAGTTACAGATAAGTATAAAATGAGGTTTGTTAATTTGGGGGAGACCTTCTCTGAAAACCCAGGTTTGTTCTGAAACATAGCGTGTATCCGAAGGAGAGCAAAAACTATTCATTTATCTGCTTTGTGACACTGTAGCTTGAGCAGACCAGGGATTAAGTTCCACAAGCCATTTCATCTGCTTTGTCACAGATCAGCCTCAGCCTTTTTTCCAAAAGTTTAATTTATTTTGACCTTAGGAAAAACAGCCAAATTAATTTTGATGGCAAATAATATTTTTCAATAGGAAGCAAATAAATTCTCATAGATCCACTGCAAATGCACCTTTATTCTATTTATGTCTCCATTATTTTCAACTTTGATTTTTGAAAACATTCGCTTAAACTCTTATTTTCTTCCTCTACTAGTATCTATGCTCTTTGATTATCTGCTCATCCAATTCTTGAACTACGCTTTCCGTGCTCTATAAATTATCTCACCCAATCATGACACAACTTCAGAAAAATTGATTATCTCATCCTGAAACTTAAAACGGGTAAAATTTGAAGCGTTGGGTATCACATGTTTAATAAAAATTTCATCTTATTGTTGCTTGTCTGCTCTTCACTAGCCACATCAGAGCCCCGAACAATATGCTTCTAGTGCAAAAATCTATTACTTGCTATTTTAGAAACACCAGCAAGACAATGTTAAATTGAATTTCATCAATTCAGTTTTAACCAGTCGGGTCAGACTAAATGCCATCTAAACATTGACTTCATTTACTAAAGAGAGATGCTGCCTAAACAATTTGGCAGAACTAGTAGTGCATCAGCTGAATATTTGAAGCTGCTACCCAAGTGGACAAAAATAGATTTACAGATTTATTGGCCACAAAATTCCTAGGCAACTTTTCCTGAAGACCTGAGCAAGAGCATCAAGTGCTCACAATAATGTTTACTTTCCAATTCCAATTGCTCCCAGTATTTTTGTTTCAATTGCCCTTATTTCCAGTCAATAATATGTAAGTAAATTCACTGATTATAAAATACAACATTTTTACCAATCCATCACCCATGTGATTGCATTTCTGAGGCAGACAGACATGCTGCTATAGATGCTCTTTGGAGGATACAGGGGAATAATAGATACTCTGAATACAAAAGACAATTTGTTATAACCACTATTTAATTTCTAGGCACTTCCATTTAAAAATATATAAATTTCTTATCTCACTTGCTCCATTTGGAAAATGTGTCTATACCATGTCTAGAAATCCACATGGGTGGAAGAATAAGGAGCAAAAGACCAAGACGGCAAACTGTCCATTTTGGCACTTTGCCTATAGATGGCTCTGTTCTCTGAATTGGAAAAGAACAAACTTACTTTACCAAGTTTATCAAAGATTTGATAGCGAGAAGCCAACACAGCATTAGATTGCTGTGACTTTAGTTGTTTCAAATGTCTTAAAAAGGATAGAAGGCTTTCAGTGACCAGAAACCAAAGGGCCAATCCCCACGAGGCTCAGCATTTCTTTCATGTCTCAGAAGCAGCCTGCTCCAGTGCTCTGTATCAGCAGCCCCTGCCTCCAGTGATGTTCACAGTGAAGGATGTGGCTCGATGACCAGAAACATGAATTACTAGTAATGTTGTTGTCAAACAGATCATCCACAACTGTAATACTCTCCTACTATCTGTAGACAGATCCTATAATCTGTCTAAATTATTTGCACAGTGTCACAGTCTGAATGCTTTTGTCCTTACAAAATTCATGGATTGAAATCTGAACCCCTAGGGTGATGATATTAAGAGGTGAGGTCTTCAGCCGGTGTGGTCATGAGGGCAGAGTCTTCATAAATGGGATTAGTGCCTTTATAAATGAGACCCCAGAAAGCTAGCTAGTCACCTTCTGCCATGTAAGGACACAGTGAGAATGTGCCATCTATGAAAAAGTGTGCTTTCACAAGACAGCCAGTCTGCCAGCAACTTTATTTCGGACTTGCCGGCCTTCAGAGTGTAAGAAACAGATTTATGTTGTTTATTGGCCACCCAGTCTATGGTATTGCATAATAGTAAGGCTGCAATAAGACACATGTACCCTCTGCCCTGTATTATATAAAAACTTTTTAACTTTGGTCACTATTTTCTATAATTGCAGTGACTACCAGAAAACCTCTTCAGAGCCCTGCATTGAGGACTACTGTATTTATTATTACAATAAAAATAACTACTATTTGAAACAAGATGGCTAAATAGACACAACTCTTGTACCCAACACCCAGTGAGAGAGACACAGAAATCGAGAGATCTCCGAGCTCCAACCAAGGTACCAGGTGCATTGCAACGGGTCTGGTTGGACGGTGAACAATGCCCAGACAGGGCAGACCGAGGCAGGCAGGGGTGCTGCTTCACCCAGAAAGTGCATCTAACTGGTGAGTCGGAGGCTCCCCCTCTGGCACCCCAGTCCAGATACAGCACTTCCCCCAAAGCCTCAGCAATCCACAGAACAGGGAATCTTTGCCAGTCAAGCACTGGGAATTACAAGCATGGAGTTAAACAATAATCCAGGATGGTGTCCCAGACTGTGGCACAGATCTAAACAAATGCATAAGCCCATAAGCCGACCAGGAGAGCCTGCAGACTGAGCTATCACCCCCTCCCCCTGCCGGGAGAGAGAGAGAGCTGAAAGCAGGAAGACAGATTGTGTGGCAGGGCAGGTACCTCCCCTGTGACCAGAGAGAGAGGGAGCTGAAAGTGCGGAGACAGAGAGTGTGGCAGGGCAGGTCCCTACCCTCTCCACAAACCCCAAAGGGCTGAAGCACTAATTCTAGGGTTACACAGCCAGTGCTTCAGTCTGAGCTGAACCCTGCGTGATCCAGCTCCATGGAAGAAAGGCTCCATGTTTTAACAAAACACACATGATCCAGCTCCACGGAGGGAATAGATTCCATGTTTTAACAAAAAACACAGGAAGCCTACATAGCAATTGGAAGGTGTTCTTGACCACCCAGCAGCACCTCCAGGTCAGCAGAAGAGGCAGGCCTAACCTCCCAGTGTAAACAAAAAAGATGCAGGAAGCCTACCTAGCAACCTGAAGGACTCCCTGGAAACCCAGTAGTGCCTCAACACACAGACAAGTGACCTCATCAAGCAGCTCCCTGAGATCAGAGCTAGATAAATCCACGAAGATGGGGAAAAAACAGTACAAAAAAAGATGAAACCATCAAAGACCAGAACGCCTCTTCTCCTTCAAGGAAACACAACATGACCGAGAAAGAGTATGACGAATTGACAGAAACAGACTTCAGAAGGTGGGTAATAACAAACATTTCTTGGCTAAAGGAACATGTTCTAAACCAACGCAAAGAAACTAAGAATCCTGAAAAAAAGGTTAGATGAAATGCTAACTATAATAACCAGCTTAGAGAAAAACAGAAACAACTTGATGGAGTTAAAAAACAGAGCACGAGAACTACGTGAAGCAAACACAAGTTTTAAATCAATCAAGCAGAAGAAAGGATACCAGAGATTGAAGATCAACTAAATGAAATAAAAAGGGAAGGCAAGACAAGAGAAAAAAGAGTGAAAAGAAATGAACAAAGCCTCCAAGAAATATGGGATTATATGAAAAGACCTAATCCACACTTGATTGGTGTACCTGAATATGATGGGGAGAATGAATCCAAGCTGGAAAACACATTCCAAGATATTATCCAGGAGAACTTCCCAAGCCTAGCAAGATGGTCCAACATTCAAATCCAAGAAATACAGAGAACTCCACAAAGATATTCTCAAGAAGAGCAACCGCAAGACACATAATTGTCAGATTCACCAGGGGTGAAGTGAAGGAAAAAATGTTAAGCGCAGCCAGAGAGAAAGGTCAGGTCACCCACAGAGGGAAGCCAATCAGACTCACAATGGATCTCTCAGCAGAAACACTACAAGCCAGAAGAGAGTGGGGGCCAATATTTAACATCCTTAAAGAAAAGAACTTTCAACCCAGAATCTCATATCCAGCCAAACTAAGCTTCATATTTGAAGGAGAAATAAAATCCTTTACAGACAAGCAATTACTGAGAGATTTCATCACCACCAGACCTGCCTTACAAGAGCTCCTGAAAGAAACACTAAACACAGAAAGGAACAAGTACCAGCCACTGCAAAAGCACATCAAATGGCACAGACCAAAAATGTAATGAAGAAACTCAGTCAACTAATGGGCCAGAAAACCAGCCAGTATCAAAATGTCAGGATCAAATTCACACATAACAATATTAACATTGAATGTAAATGGCCTAAATGCCCCAATCAAAAGACACAGACTGGCAACATGAATAAAAAGTCAAGACCCATCCATGTGCTGTATTCAGAAAACCCATCTCACCTACAAAGACACACATAGACTCAAAATAAAGGGATAGAAGAAGATTTACCAAGCAAATGGAGAACAAAAAAAAAGCAGGGGTTGCAATCCTAGTCTCTGATAAAACAGACTTCAAACCAACAAAGATCAGAAGAGACAAAGAAGGGCATTACATAATAGTAAAAGGATCAATGCAACAAGAAGCGCTAACTATCCTAAATATATATGCACCCAACACAGGAGCACCCAGATACATAAAGCAAGTTCTTAACAACCTAAAAGGGGATTTAGACTCCCACACAATAATAGTGAGAGACTTAAGCACTCCACTGCCAATATTAGACAGATCAATGAGACAGAAAGTTAACAAGGACATTAAGGACTTGAATGCAGAGCAGGACCAAGTGGACCTAATAGACATAGACAGAACACTCCACCCCAAATCCACAGAATATACATTCCTCTCAGCACCACATTGCATTTACTCTAAAATTGACCTCATAATTGGAAGCAAATCACTCCTCAGCTAATGCAAAAGAATGGAAATCATAACTAACAGTCTAGCAGACCACAGCGCAATCAGATTAGAACTCAGGATTAAGAAACTCACTCAAATCCGCACAACCACTTGGAAACTGAACAACTTGCTTCTGAGTGTCAACTGGATAAACAATGAAATGAAGGCAGAAATAAAGATGTTCTTTGAAACCAATCAGAATGAAGACACAACTTACCAGAATCTCTGGGACACTATTAAAGCAGTGTCTAGAGGGAAATTTATAGCAATACATGCCCACATGAGAGAAAGACCTAAAATTGACACCTTGTCATCAAAATTGAAAGAGCTAGAGGAGCAAGATCAAAAAAACTCAAAAGCTAGCAGAATACATGAAATAACTAAGATCAGAGCCAAACTGAAGGAGATAGAGACACAAAAAATACCCTTCAAAAAATCAATAAATCCAGGAGCTGGTTTTTTGAAAAGATCAATAAAATAGACAGACCACTAGCCAGACTAATAAAAAGAAAAGAAGAATCAAATAGATGCAAAAAAAAAAATGATAAAGGGAGTATCACCACTGATTCCACAGAAATACAAACTACCATCAGAGGTTACTACAAACAACTCTATGCACACAAACCAGTAAATCAGGAAGAAATGGATAAATTCCTGGATACTTGCACTCTACCAAGACTAAACTAGGAAGAAGATGAAATCCTGAATGGACCAATAACAAGGGCTGAAGTTGAGGCAGCAATCAATAGCCTACCAACCAACCAAAGTCCAGGTCCAGACAGGTTCACAGCTGAATTCTACCAGACGTACAAAGAGGAGCTGGTCCATTCCTTCTGAAATTATGCCCAAAAATACAAAAGAGGGAATCTTCTCTAACTCATTTTATGAGACCTAATACCAAAACCAGGAAGAGACTCAACTAAAAAAGAAAACTTTAGGCCAATATCCATGATAAACATAAATGCAAAAATCTTCAATAAAATACTGGCAAACCAAATGCAACAGCACATCAAAAAGATTATTCATCACGATCGAGTAGGCTTCATCCCGGGGATGCAAGGCTGGTTCAACATACACAAGTCCATAAACATAATCCATCACATAAACAGAACCAAAGACAAAAACCACATGATTATCTCAACAGATGAAGGGAAGGCCTTTGACAAAATTCAACAGCCCTTCATGCTAAAAACTCTCAATAAACTAGGTGTCAACTGAACCTATCATAAAGTAATAAAAGGTACTTATGACAAACCCACAGCCTATATCATACTGAACGGGCAAAAGCTGGAAGCATTCCCTTTGAAATCTGGCACTAGACAAGGATGCTCTCTCTTCCCATCTATTTAATATAGTATTGAGAGTTCTAGCTAGAGCAATCAGGCAAGAAAAAGAAATAAAGTGTATTCACTTAGGAAAGGAGGAAGTCAAACAGTCTCTATTTGCAGACAACATGATTGTATATTTAGAAGACCCCATTGTCTCAGCCCAAAATCTCCTTAAGCTGATAAGCAACTTCAGCAAAGTCTCAGGATATTAAATCAATGTGCAGAAATCCCAAGCATTTCTGTACACCAATAACAGACTTACAGAGAGCCAAATCAAAAATGAACTGCCATTCACGATTGCTACAAAGAGAATCAAATACCTAGGAATACAACTAACAAAGGATGTAAAGGACCTCTTCAAGGAGAACTACAAACCACTGCTCAAGGAAATAAGAGAGGACACAAACAGATGGAAAGACATTCCATGCTCACGATTAGGAAGAATCAATATTGTGAAAATGATTACATACTACCCAAAGTAATTTAAAGATTCAAGGCTATCCCCACCAAGCTACCAATGATCTTCTTCACAAAACACGAAAAAACCACTTTAAACTTCATATGGAACTACAAGAGAGCCCACATAGCCAAGACAATTCTAAGCAAAAAGAATAAAGCCAGAGTCATCACCCTGCCGAACTTCAAACTATACTACAAGGCTACAGTAATCAAAACAGCATGGTACTGGTGCCAAAACAGAGACATAGACCAATGGAACAGAACATATGCCTCGGAAGAAACACCACACATCTACAACCATCTGATCTTTGACAAACCAGACAAAAACAAGCAATGGGAAAAGGACTCCATGTTTAATAAATGGTGTTGGGAAAACTGGCTAGTCACGTGCAGAAAGAAAAAACTGGACCCCTTCCTGTTATCTTACAATAAAATTAACTCCAAATGGATTAAAGATTTAAACCTAAGACCATAAAAACTCTAGAAGAAAATGTAGGCAAAACCATCCAGGACATAGGCATAGGCAAGGACTTCATGACTAAAACACCAAAGGCAATGGCAACGAAAGCCAAGATAGACAAATGGGATCTAATTAAACTTCAGAGCTTCTGTACAGCAAAAGAAACAATCATTAGAGTGAACCGGCAACCAACAGAATGGGAAAAAACTTTTGCCATTCTGTACAGCAAAAGAAACAATCATTAGAGAGAACCGGCAACCAACAGAATGGGAAAAAACCCATCTGACAAAGGGCTAATATCCAGAATCTATAGAGAAATAAAAGATTTGCAAGAAAAAAACAAACCCATTCAAAAGTGGGCAAAGCATATGAACAGACACTTCTCAAAAGAAGACATATGAGGCCAAGAAACATGAAGAAATGCTCATCATCACTGGTCATTAGAGAAATGCAAATCAAAACCACATTGAGATACCATCTCACGATGGTTAGAATGGCGATCATTAAAAAATCTGGAGACAACAGATGCTAGAGAGGACGTGGAGAAATAGGAACACTCTCACACTGTTGGTAGGAGTGTAAATTAGTTCAACC